TGCTATGCCCTGTGACTATCAACACGCTTTTTTCGTCCCTTCTTCCAGCAAGACAGGTGGCCTGATTCTGGTCAGGTCAATCTGCTGAACTCTTTTGGGAGGCTAGGGTCAAGCAGTCACTGCTTCATTGGCTTCATAGGTCCCATCCTTGCCATTGATACGAGACAGTGGCTGCATATACCCTCCCACCACCTGTAGCTGTTAGACAATGAACATGTGAAAGAATCGCTATAACATATGGCAACCAAAACCTTAAAAAAACATTTGATTTAACACAAAGGATGAGAGACCCCTGACATCCCCATGCAAGGAATCGATAATGGCAGTCATTTTGATGCAATTTAAGGCTTCTAGTTGCCTGAAAAAGAGCACAGGCTGACTCTCTTAGACTCTCTTAGGCATGGGGACAGAATAAAAAGGGAAAGGGCTCCCCATCTCCTAAGAGGAAGGACGCACCTCCCCAGGCGATACTGGATACCTTTAACAAAAAGGAGTTCCTGGCCCTTGTGGGTTTGTAAAATAAAAGAACCAGGGGAATAGAGGTTCAAAGAACAAGCTCATTCCCAAGAGCAAATCAACCCCTTCTCTATGACGAGAAAGATGTGACGCTCCTGTTGACTACTGTAGCCACTCCAGTGGCAACAACTTTGGGGAGGTCAAATGAGGAGGCAGAAAAGGCAGTTAGGGTCGCAAATGATGGCAAAACACAGACTTTTGTAGCCCTGAAGGGAAGAAATCTGGATATATCCAAACCAATTCTTACTCAACTTCTGGGCGAGACTCCCCTTCTTAGTCCAACCTTAGCTGGACCCTCAGAGGCAGAGCCAAAGTAAATTGAAACAGTGCAGTCAGAACCGAAACAGGCTGATCTTACCCAGACAAAGTTAGTAGAGGCCGAGACCGCACAGCCAAGCCTGAAAAAACGAAAAGCCCAGCTAACAACAGTCAGAGCTACCAAAGCTTCTCCACCTCCCAGTAGACCCTAGCTAGCCTGACAAGAAACTCTGAAATAGATAAAGATCCCTCAATCAGCGAAGGCTTCAGCATGGAGTTGTCAGGCTATGTTGGATTCCACCATTGCTGGGGCATCCGACTCTGAATCTGAATACATTGACATCATTAATGACACAGATGTAAGAGTAACATAATCTAAGCATACTGCAGTGGAACATCAGCGGCTTTTCTCCAAGAAGTGCCATTCTCCACTCCATTGTGCAGTCAAGGAACATTGACACTGCCATGCTCCAGGAAACGCTAACAAAGGATACTGTCCACTTCTCAGAGTATCACATCTATGTGTTGCCAAGTACAGCTGGTACCAGAGGCTTGATCACCCATGGCTTTTCTCCAAGAAGTGCCATTCTCCACTCCATTGTGCAGTCAAGAAACACTGCCACTGCAATGCTCCAGGCACCAGAGGTTTGATCACCCTGGTCAGATCAACAATCTCCGCAATAGCCAATCCACCACATTGTGGAGATGGTGTTGAATCACTCCCTGTTGAAATCTACCTGGTCAGGGGCCCCCTTAATGTGTACAGCAGGCCAGGTTGTAGTAGCTTAGATATAAGCAAGGTCTGTGCTACGACAAGTGATCATAGGGGGAGACTTCAATACACACCACTCCATCCAGGCTCCCTATAAGAGATCAAATGTGGCAGGCTATCACATATCCGAAGTGCTTGAATCATTCCCTGAGATCGCTCTTCTTAGCACTCAAGAGCCAACGCATGTCAGAGGAGGGGTCCTAGACCTCAATTTTACCACTGCAGCTCTGGTGGAGGGAATCAGAGTGTCAATGAGTTTGTTACAAGTGATCACTGTGGCACTGGTACCACTCTCTTAGATGGAAAAAAAGACAAGGTCAGAGCTTTCAGAATGCCTTGGCCTGCTGACTTAGATACAGTGAACCTCCACAGAGTGAAAATTTGGATATACTTGAGGCCAGACTTGTCAATGCCATAAATCAAGCAGCCTCACAGACCATTTCTAATACTCAGCATTGGTCCAGGAATTATAGAGACGCCTGCTACTATAATGATGAGATAGAGAAGGTCAACCAAAGAGTAAACATATGCAGGAAACATTTCCGAAGGCAGAGAACCCCTGATAATCTACACCTCCTGAGGGAGACTGTCATCGATGCCAAGGAAACTGCAAAGAGAGTCAGGCAGGAAGAGTGGCTGGAATGGTACAAGTCATTTGGCCACCAGACCACCCTCACATAGCTGTGGCAACAGGTCAGGTGGTTCACCAACCACTCAACTCCTTCAGTCAGAGGCAAACAGGCTAGTGGTTGGCTTCTCTGCAAGAACAAGTAGCAGTAGTCTGCCAGCTGGATTAAGGACAAACCCACAACCAGGCAAACTTATTGTTATCTGAAGCAGGGCAGCCAATCCTGATAACTCTCTCTGAGGGAATCAAGAAAAACATACAAAAACAGTTCCTGGTTACCCCCAGGCAAACTTATTGTCATCTGAAGCAGGGCAACCAATCCTGATAACTCTCTCTGAGGGGATCGAGAAAAACATACAAAAACAGTTCCTGCTTACTCCCAGGCTGTGATGAGCTCTCCTACCCCATCATCTCTCACCTTGGGCTGGAATTAAAAGTTCTAAAAAAATTTCACTCTACCCCAGAACTAGAAGTCTCAAAACCGTAGGAGCCGGGGAGGTATACCCATCTCTTTCCTCATCTGTCTAGGAAAGATGAGCTAAAATAGCTTAAATGAGAACTGGAATCCCCAGATGAACACCACTATGGGTTCAAAAAAGGCATGAGCACAGCTCACAGGATAGCCACCCTCTTCAGCATTGCCACATCTGTGGTAATGTTCTTAGATCTGAACTAGTAAGTCCTCTTGCTACTAAGGATAGGTGACTAAATGGCCAAAGTCAGATTCCAATGATCACCTGTCGCAGCACATGCCACTAGAAAATGGAATACTAGTCTACAGTCCAGCCCTTTTCAACACCTAATGTCCTGCATCAACATACACCTTTCTGAGGGGTGAAAGATCATCTGTGCAGGTGATTTTGCAATCATCTCTACTAGGTGAGACTTCCTAAGGAGAGCCCAACACTGGACCTTGTGTCTGAGGAGTGTTGTAGGACAGGAATAAAGATCTCTGCAGCCAAATCAATGGCCATGGCTCTGAGACTTAATGTACATTATATAAATCTGTGTGTCTAGGGAATGAACCTAGACTGGGTTCAATTCTTCCAGAATCTTTGGTTATAGGTTGACGAGAACCTCTCCTTCCGAAAGGAGATCCAGTACGTGGTTGACCGAGCTAAGGCAGGACTGTCTGTCATGAGAGCAATGACTGAGAGACAAATAGGAGCAAGACAGGAACATTGTGGGTGCCCCAGGTGGACAAAGGTCCTCAACCTATGCATGAAGGCAAACCTTCTTCCCCTGTAGCACACTTCTTTTCCAAAGTCATCCAGGCACCCCTGAACACATATATCAGATAAAAAGTACTCAGATGCCTAGAACTAGAATATGCTGTCATACAGCCAGGGTGTTGATTATTAACTTTTATTAGCTCAAAGAGCAACTACTTGTTAAAGTCATGGACTGCCCCCAATCTGACTATATTGAACCCTTGAAATGGGCACAGATCTAGATCGAGTTTTCAGTCATGAAAAACTATCATGACAAACTATCACCCCACATCCCTCACATTGATCGTTTGCATTTACTTCAAACACGTTATACACAAACACACCTTGAACCAGATTGACGTTCACAACATCCTTACAGACTCACAACATGGTTTCCGGCCCAAACGTGAGACACTAACCACATGAGACACAACGAATCACAGCCCATCACGATAATGCCCGAAAGCTAGACAGACGTGGTGTTAAATAAGTTGATACCATACTGCTCGACTTTTCCTTCGTCAACCCCCCCCCCACACACACACACACTCACAGAAACCTGACACTTAAATCACAGTATTATAGGATCACAGGACCATTTCTCTGGATCACTGCTTTTCTGACCCAACGTGTCTTGCTTGTTGATGCATCTTTTAACTCTATCCTTTCTCGGCTCCCTTAGTTTCCTTGAATACATTAACGTTCTTCCATTATCCTCACCTAAATCTTCCACAAGATATTTAGCTGACGACAGTCTTCCGTTTTGACCAATTAACATTGAAGACGATTGCACACTCCCCCATGATATAGACGCCTTTGAATAGTGGGAACGGTCATGGCAAATGACCTTTAGACCAGATAATTGCAAGGTACTCAGATCACACCAATACAATATAGCTACACTCTATCTACAGATACATTGGAATACACCTCACTAACACAACTGTACACCAGCCATCAAACGCACGGCTTACAACGCAGGCGTACACCTGGTATAACAGCTTTTTAAAAATAATAATGATAATAATAATAATAATAATAAAATTGAACTTCTTTATATACCACTGGCAAATATAACAAACACATAACAAAAAAAAAGTAAAACAAAAACATTACCACTTACACTTTAATCCTTCCCTCTCAAACCCGGCAGCCAACCATATATAAGCGTTATATGCGCTTACCAGCGCCCTACGCATTAATATTGAGACAGAGAGAGAGAGAGAGAGGTCTGTGACCTCTGATTTATAGTGTTCGCTTCTTGATATAGTGTAGTTTATCCTAACATGGCAAACGTTTTCTATCATTGTAAACCATTCCTTTAGCGTAAACAATTACAATTTGTAGATTTTATCACCTATACAAATTCATGGCAAATGTCAACGTATCACTACGTTTGTTACCTCCGTCATTAAGAATGTTGTTAATATATTTTTCTCCTCCTTAGGTGTATCCTGAACTTCCACCATCACAGTGACGCTGAAGAAGATTACAGAATCTCTGTCATACCTGCAGATAAAAGACATGAATTTATGTCTTCAAATACGGAAGGAAGATGAAGCTAAATGAATAATTCAATAAAGTGAGCTTATGACAGACGCCAATCTATAGTCTG